GTTGCTTTGGTTTAAACACTACTGTTTAAATTAAAAAAAACCTCACCATAACCTAGCCTCCATTGATGTCCAGTGCTGGTTCCCAATATGCATTGGCTTAATTCTAACCAGTTAAACTGATGATACCAAAAGAAGGGCTTTTTCCTGTTTACTGGAACAGTCCTGTAGTATAAGCAATAATAATGTTAACAAATGGTTAAAGATTTTAAGAATCCATCAGTAATATGAATAAAAATCAATTTAAAAATTGCTGTATTTAGAAAGCATCCACAATCTGAATCACTGAAATACAGTATAACCCTGAATAATGTGGATTTGCTGTAGTTACGCTTGGATTTACTCTTGAGGTAATTGGTGCTGCAGAAGTTATACTGTAATTATTTCTTTTCTTCCTACTGTTCACACTTACCAAACAATACAGTAATGACTGTCGTGAGTCAGAGATAATTCTACCAGACTTCGTCTTTTGTCAGAGTCGGCTTTCCACCATAGGTAATACAATCCTGATTCAACAGCTTCAGCATCTCTCGGATTGAAACGAATACAACCCAAAATCCGTTCTCATCTGTTATTCTGCCTTTGACAATGGTAGTAGACACAAACCCAATACTGCACACCCTTTCAACTTCTAGCTCCATTTACTGATTGGTAAATGAAAACGTCCTCAGGAAATAATATGAAGGACAGGAGCAAAAAAAGATTACCTCACTCCAGCTAGAGCTGCTGTTGTGTGGACTCGATTTGCTGCTGCTTGTTATGAAGCAGATTGCCAGAAGACGGAAAAGAGCGGCAATGCAAGGGGGAGTTTTCCCCAGCATCGGCCTCACGGCAGATGCAGATGTGCATGGCACACCTCCACGTCTGCACAACTGCTGCACCTCTCCCCAGCAAAAACAAACGGGGTGCCAGTTTCCTACTGGTGACAGCGCTGTGCTGACAGTCCTGGGTAAAGAAGTGTTGGGAGGGCAGGGAGGTAAAACAGCACTGCGGGCTTCCCGCCACCCACCCACGGGCCATGCTGTTGGAGGGAGATGCTGTTTTTGTTCTCCCCGCTCGTAAATTTTATGGCCTCTCTCCCGAGGCTGCCAAGGCCATATGTGGCAGGTGAGGAGGTCCCGGGGGAGCCCGGCACCGCTCACGGCAGCACCCTTCAAACGAAGGCTGGCTACGCTACCTGGAAGCTCGCGTTAATGAGCTGTGGATGGCTGACCATTATCCGCTGATCAAAGCCAAAACACAGAAGCCCGATGAGACCAACAAAACAGTTCAGTCCAGGGATAATTACAACTTCATTTAACTTGCATCTACAGAAACTGTCAGCGAAATTAATTGGTGGTTTGTTTCAGTGGCAGCACACGTATGATACACACTTCTGTCACAATCTCCCTCCTGCTTCTCTCCCCCACTCCTGCATCAAACATGGCGATTGGTACCAATTAGCAGTCTTTCAGCAGAGGGCACAGGAAAGGACTTATACCGGTTTCTCCTAATGCTGGTCCTCCAAGCTGGGCTGGAGCCGTACCAGCGGGCTCTGGGGACGAAGCAGCCCTGTTTTAGATGAACTGAGAATTTCAGCACCCAAAGTTATCAAACGGGCTTCTATCTTTAAGAACATAAAAGGCACCTCAGTATAAAGAAAGAATGTGCTACAATTTTGAAGTCCTCTCTTTCATCCTGAGAACAAATAGGCCCTTATCTAAAATCCAGAAAGGGATCCATTTGTAATCTGCACCTGCTTTACATCCCAACATTTGGCACAAGGCAATGAAAGCTTGTCTAGAGTTACTGTGAGCAGCCCTCATTCCAACAGAGATGAAACAGAAATATTCAGAAATAAATTTGTAAAAAATGATGAGGCGTTTTAGACTTTTGATACATCTGACTAAAAAGAAAAACAGTTTCAACTGCATTCCCACATTAGCAAATAAATAACACACATACTTTGCTGTGAAACAAAGGGATCACAGTAGCGAGACTGAAAGCTACAAACTGCTCTCAGGTGGCAGAGAACCAAGTCACCTACTGGCTTGGCAAGGCCTTTGTTTGTTTGTTTGTTTCTTAAGAGCAAACGAACAGGACATACAATTAACAGCACAGCAATGACATCAAGCTGCCTCCCTTCGAGTGCTGAGATGACAACCCTTCAACCCTTTGTGGTTCATCTTTAGGGTTTAGTTTTGTAAGGGTATGAAGTGCACGTTTCCATTTCCTGGTACAGTAATTTACAAGAGGAGGAGCTGGAAAAAGAATCCTTAAATCAATCTTTAAAATGAGTTCAGGATCAAACCAGTGATGTTAGTCATAAACACATGATAGTTATACACGCTAATTAAAAAAAAAAAAAAAACAGAGTTGTCTTTTTTTTTTTCCTAGAAAGGAAAACAACAACAACTAATGATGTTGTTTTAGATGGTTTTTTTAGATGTTATTTTGTAGGTGGATGTTCTTATGTTGTGGGCAGAGCTGGCTTGAAAGTATGGAGTACTTAAACCCTTAGAACACTCCAGACATCCTGCCTTCGTTTTTAGATTCTCCAAATGCTTAGATTCTACCTTTTTTTTTTTCCTCCTGAAAGGTAGTCATTGGGCAAAGCTAGACCAAGATTCTCCACAAAAAGCTCATCCTCCCAAGTCCTCCTAACTACCAGCAGGTCTCTCTGCCTGGGAAGATAAAATGTGAAGGAAAAAAAAAAAGCCACTATACTAGTGTCTTGATATCTCTTAAATCCCCAAGGTTACCAAACAAGTGTATTAGCAAGTAAAATTATTATTTCCCTAAATTCCCTCCAGTTATCCTGCAATTTGCTTTTACCATTTGTGTGTACAAAATGTTTACAAAATGATCAAGTATGATCACAATGTTCCATTAAAAACTGCCTAGTAACAATTTGGCCATGAAACTGAAAAAAAAAGAAATCGGAAAAAATGCCAACAGAACCAGAAGAGCCATTGCCCAAGGAGTTTTAATTCAACCCAGAAACTTCAGTGACTCATATTTTCAATTACTTTCTGAGGTTAGAAGGCAGTGGGCTATCTAACAAAATGTTTTTAATATATGGAAAAACATCTTTGCTTCATGGCCTCTATAAAATGAGTGGGGTAGTTCTGAGATTCCAAATTCACAGAGTACAAATCACACAAATGGCAGTGAAAGTCAAACCATTTGGCAAAGAGAGGGCTTAAAAACAGAATCATCTTTGTACCTCTCAAAAGCTGGTCATTTCAGATTAATAGAGAAGTCCTTTGGTAAAATAGTCCGGGTGAACACGCGCCCTATCTCTAGGCATATCTGATACTTCGCACTGTTTGTTTTTCCCTCTTGCATGTCAATTATAGCGCAAAGTTTTTCAGCCCAGTTAACCCTGATTTCTTTCTTGTCCACAAAAAAAGAAGCCAAGCTGACTTCTGTTCTAACATGAAGTTTCATTTCTGCTGATGATCTGATTTTCCCTTGAAGGCAAGCAGTTTCACAGCTTCTGTTAAATGTAACCAGAATAAAAATTAAGAGCAAGGGCACAAATCTTGAGAGATATCTACAACGATGGAATAGAGATCCCCCGTCGAAGTTAGCAGGAAGATGGTTCAAATTCTACCAGGACAGCAGAGAGAAGCAACAGAGCTGTTAACTCAAAGTGCAAAGATGGCTTAGGAAAATAATTTCAGAGAAAAGGTGCAAGTCGTTCCATTAGGGAGCAAATACTGAGTCATGTTCGGTCCTCAGAGGTATACACAGCTTTCAGTAACTTCAACACAAGCATAAACCACTATCAGAAGATCTAACAGAGAAACTCAGTATCCTTCTGAGATTTGACCATGCTAAATGAGAGTTTTGAGGCTTTTATGCTGTAAGTACCTTAGCCAAAGGCCTTAAGAGGGGAAAGTTCAGGCTATAAATACTAATGAGGAAAATATCTAGACATCTTTCAGCTGGCTAAACAATCAGTGCAGAAGAGTCAGGATCCTTCCTTCTCTATTCTTTGCACATTTCTGATATATCAGAACAGAGTATAAGGCACATCAATACCCCTCTGCTCCCATCTAACTAAAGTTGGGCATATTTTTTTGAATATAAACAAGAAAATCTTTCTCCACCACAAAATATTGTAAACATCTCATAAAATGACATAGCATTCCTCTTTTCATTTAGGGAGGAGAAGCTAACTGTCTGCTGCAGTTAGCAGGAAATTCCATTGACAATAAAACAAATAAATCAATCAGTGGTCTCAAAAGCCTATGATTCAAGTATATGGGTTACAAAGAGCTTGGATTTGACAGCCGAATGTGTTCTTCTCCATGATTTATCTGTGAACTTCCAATTAGAGAAATGAAGTGGAATAAACTACTCAGTGCAAATGAAGATATTTGGGAGGAAAAATTAATTAATTCAGTATGACATGACACAAAGACTGTCTGGTGCCCATAAAAACAACAGAAGCTACACAACTCAGAAGTAAAAATGAGGGAGGAAAGCTGCCTTACTGCTTATGGGTCTGGCAAAAGCTGCAAACTCTCTCAGCTGAGAGTTTGCAAATGCAGAGGTAGAACTGTCTGAAAGCAGTAGGCAGTGAGGACTTAGCCAGACCCTCAGCTAGGATGCATCAAAAAGGGCTAGGAAGGCCCAAGAAACTCTGCTGATTCACGGTAACTGAGAAGTAAAGTTAAACAGTTCCCTCTAAACAACATCATAAACCTTTTCTGTGCATTTTGGAACATGGACATTTTTGCCTGAGATAAATCGTGCTTCAAAAGCTCAGTGACAAAGGGTCAGATTAAAAAAAAAGAAAAAAGAGAGATTATACAATAAGATCGTTAAAGTCCACGACAACAGACCTCGAAGATTGAAAATCCATGTTAAAGCTTTTCTGCAGACAGAACATAGCATCACAAGGTCAAATGACACATTTGCTATCACCAGGTAAATCAGGATATTTCTGTACTGAAATTAAAGAATTTAAATATTAAATGATACTGGGGAGCTATATCAGAATGACAGGTACTTACATTACAATTGGAAGACCCATCAAATGTTGAGTAAGAACCATCAGGCCATTCTGTAGCATCTCCACTGCTTGATTGCCTGTGCTGGGCTTCATACTCTTTCAGCTGAAATTTAAAAAGACAGAGAGAACATTTTCCAGTGAGAAGAAGCTATCAATCTTCATTAAAATAGCAAGAGTTAACGTCCTTTCAGGTTTCTTTTTCCCCCATATCATTGTGGAACTGGGAAAATCAGAACTTTGGCATTGTATGCCTCACTTGTTCAAAATAAATTAATTTGATTTAGAATCAGAAGTTTTAATTATGCGGGTTTTTTTTAAAGGATGTGATCTGTAAACACTGAATTTTGATTAAATGTCTTTGGTAAAATATGTTATATATCCCCATCTCAGAGGCATAGTTTCCATCGGACAGACTAAATCACAATAGCCTGCCAATTTCCTTCATAAAGAAAATGATGTGCAGTAGACTAGGAACTACCTTTTAGAACTTTAAAACTAAAGACCATCTTTCCCACTTTCCAATAAAAGGCTTAAGACATAAAACCAATCCTACTGGAGTCAAACTGTTGAGAGGACCATCAAGAACTGATGATACTAAAAAAAAAAAAAAAAAAAAAA